ATGAATTTAGATTTGGTATCATGAATGCATTCCAATTTACATGAATTCAGCTTTGGTATTTTGGCTTGATTACAATGTATTTTTGCTTGAATCAATAGTGCTATATGAGTAAGATATTGAAACACCTCAGAAATTTTTTCTTTTCATACATGTAAACTAAGCTCATGTGGTTTGATGGATGTGGAACTCTTTCAATTAGAGAACACTCAAATTAAAGTTGCAACCTTTTACACTTGTGAGCAATTGGGCCATTCTCATTTTTTTGAGAGATGTTATCATATTCTTAATATTACCTTCAGCATTGTCTCGTTATATGATCTCATTATTCCCCAAATTTGGTTGACTAATGGGAATGCCATTACACGGTTTGTGGTATGTTGGTTTGATTATACTCAGGGAATGATGAAGGTCAATTTACGATGTAGTTTAAGCCTTTCAGGCCTACCAATGTCTCATTGAATAGAAGTCACTTTGAGCCAAATTCTCATCAGTCTTTGTTGAGCCATTTATTTCCTCACCCACTCCACATTGGAGGTTGAGCCTAAGTTGAACATCTCCTTTACCTTCAAATATCAAGTATGTAGTATAGATTGTGGAGTATGCTGTTAAAATATATATATATATATATAATTCAGAAATGAATGAAGAAAGGGTATGAAAAATATTTTAAAGCAAGGTGTGTTGTTGCGAAAATCCCAAAAAAAATAATATTTTTTTTTACCATTGGACACAATTGCAGTCGCATACTTTGACTAAATGTCTCACATGTGGGGCCCCCTTGGTGGAAAAATGGGCACCAGACAGCCCTTAAGTCTATAAGTTGACGAAGATCCTCAATATATACTTGAGAATTAATATTTTTCTTCAATCTTCTTATCCTTCCTTTCAATTTGACCCTAGTCATATTACAACCCTTTATTGACCTTAGAATGGTCCAGTTCCTATTAGTTGACATCCTCTCATGAGATCAATTTTGTTATTTCACTCTTTTGCTCCTATTTCACTCATTTGCCCGCAGGCAATTATTCCTTCCATATATTTGAGTGGCAATTTTTTTCAACCTTCATTACCTCTGTTGGCAATAGTTTTTTTTTGGTTGAATACTACACTTAATATTTGCAAAAATAACTTTTGTTTGGGATGTTCTCGACATTGTATGAGTTTTGGTTTGATGGAAAGATGGTGAAGAGCTTAACACACACACACACACACAAGTTCTAGGAGTGTGCTTTGACAGACAAACTTTGATAACATTGTTGATCTCTGGTGAATGCTTTGTTTGATGTGCCTGAATATTTTTGCTTAATTCGTGTAAAAGGATTTTCACTTGGGACGGGTAGCAATACTCTTTCTTCGCTTGAATTGCTAGGGACTAGCAACACGCTAGTTGGGGGTGTGATAGAGTGAATAAGATTGCATTTTTAATGTTGATTGCTCATGATTATTTACTAATATACAAGTATATTTGGGATTAATAATGATATTTTTATATAGTTGAATGAAGGTCAATCCTAATTGTGGTGTTTACAATTTTATTGTAGAAATGGAGCCCAAAAATGACAAAGTTCAAGGCCCATAAGAGAGGCCTCAATTCAAGTGGACTTAACCCAGCCCAATCAAAATAAAATAGATTGGAAAGATTAATGAAGGGAGCAAAATCTGTGGAAGACGTCTCTTGCTGTGAAGAAATCCCGAATTGGAAACACATCTGTACTATCCTTCGTATTTTCACCATATCTCCCTCATACGATGTCGTATTGAGCTGATTCAAGAGGCCTTAGAAAGCTAATTTAACGTGCTACAATTTCTCCTGTAACAGAGATTTTGAAATTCTCACGTTTTCTAAGTGAAAAATGGCCCACAATCCAATACTAAAAATATGCCGAATTGAAGATGCGAATTCGGGATTGATTCTTTCTTTTCCTGGTGAAGATGGCTTGAAAGGAGTGGAAGAGGAAAAAAAAAAGCAGAGGATGACCAAGAAGGCTGGGACCAAGGTGGATCGATTCTTTTTCTTCCCTTTTGGCTATCAAAAGAGGGAAGCCACTCCAAGAAAACGGGAGACCAGATTCACTGAGTTTTTCCTTCTTCCCATCTCTTTCAATTTCTTGATGTTAACTCTTTATTTAAACTTTTCTTCAATTTTAGCATGAATTAATTTCTATCTTCTAGAGTTTGAGATGTAGCCTAACTACGATTATGTGAATCTTCCTTTACTTGAATTAATTGGTATTTGTTCCAATTGTTGAGTATTTCATTCTGGACTTAATGCTTGTGAATTGACTGATCACCATTCACTTGAGTTGGGATTCAATTTGAGAGAGAGAAGTAATAATTGTTTCGCCCAATGTTTGAGATATCACAAGAATTCTGTAGGATAGAGATATCTATGGACTTGTGTAATCTTTATGGGTTTATTTTTGTTTTTAATGAATCTTGACAGGCTTAGAATTTTCACAGAGATGTAGAAAATTTTCTTGTTGAGATATTTCGTTAATGCTAGAGAAAGATTAATGAATAAATTAGAGAGACTTGATTATCAATAATTAGGAATACTTACAATTAATTCAATTAGGATATTCACATATGAGTAGTTATGGTGAATCAAAAACTCTAGAGTATTGTTTTCTTGATTTTAACTTGCTTGTTCAATTCATCTTAGTTTAAACTTT